AGTTTATAATCTTACTTTCAGCACTTTTCCCTCAGCTTTTTTCCACAAATTGCCACTTGACTGATGTAAAACTATGATAAATATTGACCACTGGTACTATTCCACAAAACCAAGTCATAATTAGAAAAATATGAACAATAAACATTTAAACCGTAGTCCAAACCAGAATTTAAATCAACACAAATCAATGAACTAAACCAGAATCACTGTGAGAAAATCGTCAACCCAGATTTAAAACAAGCCAATCTCTGTCCTAACATCCCCTCATTTTCGCTAAAATACCTCTTCTTTGCCATCAAATCTCCAGGAATAAAGTTGCAATGTCAAGAAAGTTTGGAACATTGAAGACGAGTGACGCGCACGCTGCTATTTTTTACCCTAGCGCTGATGTAATCCTCCACTTTTGGATACAGTTGAATTTGCAAAAGGGCACGACTTTGTGTTCATTGTAAGATCAGAAGCAGGGACATAAATCAAGTTCATTGTAGTATTCCTGGAGTTGTCGGTGTAAGCGTCTTTTCGCAGATTGCTTTTCGCCAATCAGACAGATAAGGCCGAGGTAGGACGGATTATTTAGCTTGCCTAATTTTCCCCTGTCTAAAACGTCTTCGGAGCTAATCATTTCCGAAGCAAAAATGCAAATCTGACATTGTCTTAACGAAGGTATTGAAGGGTGTAATTGAGGTGATGGATTGGGCACAATACAGAGCTTTTGTGGGCTAATGATGCTGTGTTGTTTTAGCCACGATACAACAAAAGAAATGAGTGACATGTAGCTGTTTTCTTCAGTACAAGTGGAGTTTAATACCGTATTTTTTGGACTATAAGGTGCACTTAAAATCCTTTCATTTTCTCAAAAATCGACAGTGCGCCTTATGTATTAATTCTGGTTGTGTTTACTGACCTCGAAAGGCTTTTATGTGGTACACGGCGCTCAAAAATCTGTCAAAATATTTTAGTACGACTTTGGTAAACTATGAAGTCGCACCTTTTAACGGATTGCTGGAGCATTACGGCCACCGTAGTCAGGAGCCTCGCAGTAAATTAGTCCGGCGGAGCTGTGCATCAGGGCACAAGGAGTGAGCTGTTTTTTTCATCTCTTATAGTTTATGTAAATTAGTCATGTGGTTTTAAGTTTTGTTTCTGTAAAACATAAACAAATGTGCGCAAAGCTGCATTAAACACATTTTTACTCATTGTATATTTGAGTCCTCCTCATAGGAAACAAAACAAAAAAAAAAGCCACGATCTGCCAATGGCTCGTGGATGCCTGGGCTAAGAGATCAGTCTCAAGTGTCGTCCGTTTGCTTCGCTTATAATTCTCTGCACCTTATGAATTCAACATTATTGATATTGCGCCTTATAATCCAGTGCGCCTTATAGTCCAAAAAAATACGGAAGTTTAGTTTTGATTTAAAGTATTAGCCAGAGCAGAAGCCAAAAAAATAAAAAAATGCGTACGTGCTGTCCATCTTGATGTTGTTGTGGAAATTGATATATTCTAGTGGTTATGTTGTCTTGAGTTCTGAAGCAAAAATGCAAATCTGACATTGTCTTAACAAAGGTATTGAAGGGTGAAATTGAGGTGATGGACCATAAGGTGCACTTAAAATCCTTTCATTTTCTCAAAAATCGACTGTGCCTCATGTTATAATTCTGGTTGTGCTTACTGACCTCAAACTGATTTTATGTGGTACTCGGCACTGTGAGAATGTTTTAGTACGACTTTGGTAAGCTACAAAGCCACACCGCTTGATGGATTGTCGGAGCATTATGGCGACCGTAGTCAGGAGCCTCGCAGAGTAAGTCAGTAAATTAGTCCGGCAGAACTGACCCTGAAACAGCACTTATAGTTTATGCAAATTAGTCATGCAGTTTTAAGTTTTGTTTCTGTAAAACGTGAAAAAATGTGCGTAAAGCTGCATTAAAGGTATTATTACTCAAGGTATATTTGAGTCCTCCTCGTAGGAAATAAAACAAATCGAACTTAAATTATCCATCCACATTCACATTCATAATACCAACCATAACACCAAGACAAGGAGGCAACACCGGGTGAATTACGCCATGATCTGCCAATGGATCGTGGACGCCTGGGCTAAGGGATCAAGTATCAGGTCTCAAGTGTCGTCCGTTTGTTTCTCTTAATGCACCTTATAATCCAGTGTATGTATGAAAATAGACAAGAGAATTCAACATTATTGATACTGCGCCTTATAATTCGGTGCGCCTTATAGTCCAAAAAATACGATAGTTTAGTTTTCATTTAAAATATTAGCCAGAGCAGAAGCCAAAAAAAAAAGCGTACGTGCTGTCCATCTTGATGTTGTTGTTGTCGTTGTTGTGGAGATTTATATATTCTAGTGGTTATGTTGTCTTGTGTTCCGAAGCAAAAATGCAAATCTGACATTGTCTTAACGAAGGTACTGAAGGGTGAAATTGAGGTGATAGATCAGGCAAAATATAAAGCTTTTGATGCTCAGAGATGTGGGCTAGCGACAGTTTTTAAAAATACGTGACATGTAGCTGTTTTCATCAGTACAAGGGAAGTTTAGAAGTTTAGTTTTCATTAAAAATATTAGCCTGAAGAAGCAAAAAAATAAATGCTTATGTGGCCACCATCTTGATTGTTGTTGTTGTTGTTGTTGTTGAAATGGATCTATTCGAGTTCATCTTGCTAAACTGTTATTTTTCAGGCACGCACCAATCAGACAGATAAGGCCGAGGTAGGATTATTTAGCTTGCTTAATTTCCCCCTGTCTAAAACATCTTCGGAGCTAATCATTTCTGAAGCAAAAATGCAAATCTGACATTGTCTTAACGAAGGTACTGAAGGGTGTAATTGGGGTGATGGATCGGGCTTTCGCCGCTCGGGGTTGTGGGCTAATGATGCTACGATTTTTTTAACCACGCTACAACAAAAGAAACGAGTGACATGTAGCTGTTTTCTTCAGTACAAGTGGAGTCATCTTAAGACTAGAGTTGCACCGATCTTGATTCTGGTATCAGATATCGGCACCTATTGGGATATTGGCTTCCAAACATCGGTCCATCTGATATCGTGGCTGACCGTATGAATTTCCAGCGTTTATTTATTTATTTGAGACAGGTTTTTGCATTTTTACCGAGAGATGCATTGTACATCAGCATCAGTGCTAGTAGTCCCTGGCACCAGAATCAAGTTTTAGGTTTGAAATTTGATTTAAACTTCTGTAGTTACTTGAGAGATAAATAATAGCAACATAACACATTTGGTTTTGTCAATTTTATTTTTGCTTTATAGAAATAAAAGCTGAATTCAGTCTCTACGCTGGTATTGGTTGATATTTGGTATCGCAGATAATTAAAGCTATTAAAGCTATATCATCATTAAGACCTTTTTTTTTTTTTTTTTTTTTTTTTTTAAATATTAGCCAGAGCAGAAACCAAAAAAAAGAGCAGATGTGGCAGCCATCTTTTGTTGAAATGATATTCTATTTATTCTACTGGATTCAAAATATTAACCAGAGCAGAAGCAAAAAAAAAAGCTTATGTGACCGCCATCTTGATTGTTGTTGTTGTTGTTGTTGTTGTTGTTGTTGAAATGGATCTAGTTGTCTTGCTAAACTATTACTTTTCAGGCACGCACCAGTCAGGCCGAGGTAGAATGGATTATTTAACTTGCCTAATTTTGCATACCAGATATCTTACCAGATTTTGGACACATTGTGTTGCTAAACTGTTGCTGTAAACTGTGGCTAAAGCAGCTGTGAACGGCGCATGAGAACTGACTAATAGATGTTTAGTATGTTCAGAGCCGCTTTAATTTTTTTAAAAATAACTGGGTCACACTTTATAATAATTACACCTTATTTAGCCTTAATAAAGCGTGAACAAAGGCTTAATTAATAATGAACAAAGACTTAATTAATAATGATAGTAACTACTTAATTACTTACTACCTTAATTAACACTTGCACTGAATTTGCCTGTGCTGTAAATAGTTACTCATAATTATTTCATACTTAATTACTCATGAACTAACATTTGAACATTTATTAATCATTAATAAGCTATGAGAGAATGATTTACTAATAATGCAATGCAATGATAATTCAGGCAGCGGTTATCTGTTAGTTAAGTCTTTTTGAGAGCTTTTGTAAAGTGAAGACAAATTATGCTTTATTAAGCATTTACTAAGGGTGAATCATTATTAATTAAGTCTTTGTTCATTATTAATTAAGCCTTTGTTCATGCTTTATTAATGCTAAGTAAGGTGTAGATATTATAAAGTGTTGCCAGTAATTGATGTCAATATAGCATCACTGTCTGAACTATTCCACACACTGAAATAATTGTTCTGTTGATAGTTGATTATTATTTTTTTTTTTTATTATATTGAAGTTTTAGATTAAGTTAGAATTAACCTTGAGGTAAATCTACTTTTGTAAAAATAAGGGTTTCCCTCGCTGACGCAGTAACATTGTGTGTAAATGTCGTAACATACAGTCAGTGATTATCCTGTAACTTGTTTGCTGGATATTCATTTATTTTAGCGTTACTCGTCTAATTACCCATAGAGAGTGAATGGGACGTGAAGTGAGGAGCCACACTTTTGAAGCACGTTTTATCCAGGTGGGATTGTGGATGCATTTTGTGTATAAAAAGTTACAGAATTTCTCTAAGAAGAAAGTGAGCAAGTCAGACTACCAGTTTTGGGCTTTTTAAATACTCACTTTACCATGGACTTTCAATGGGAGTGAATGAGAACAGGGTTGCGTGAAATGTTCCGCAGTGTTTGACCTCCTCTTCTTTGATCTGACCACCGTGTGCGTGTCCTGCGTGTTTTTTGTCCTGGCATGTCTGCATGGTCCCCCCGCCCCGTATGCACCCGCCCCCCCCCCCCCCTCCTCCCCCCCACGCACTGCCCCCTGCTTGGCGGCCTGCCTGTACCCCCCCCCCCCCCGTCCCACCCCCCCGTCCCCCGTCCCCGGTGTCCCCGTTGTCCCTGTGTCTTCCAGGAGAGCCAGTGGTTGGACAGCGTGTCTCTCCTCATGAAGGACTCTCTGGAGGGGGAGATGCAGATGATCGATAACCTGTCTGGCTCTGTGTTCCACCACTACTCCTCTCCTCCGCTCTGCAAAGGCTGCAAGGGCCACCCGCAAGAGGTACTCCCGAGGCACCGCTCACCTGTTTGACATGCACAGAACACGGCAGGAGGTTAAAGAGGAGATGTCACGTTATTGTATCTTAGTTAGCTCTAGAATGACGGCGCATTTTCAGCTATTTTTGATACAGATCATTTTTGAGTTGAGCTAAACACGGTTCGCCCACGACAAGGTCCTCGAAGTTCATTTTTCCAATAGACTTTCAGAAAATTCAATAATATTAAAAGTTTGAAATCTTGCTCAGGGCTAATCAGTGGTAACTAATGCCCACAAGACCTATGATTCTCCTTTCTTTCACATTTCTAACACTCTATTAACATTTTATTTTTTTATATTTTGCAGAATTCAAAGTTAAAAATGTGTTTTTGGACTGAATACTTTTTGGACAGAATACAATCGTGTTAAAGGCATTAGTTACCACATACATAGTTAGCCTCTGTCATGCCTTTAAACTCCTAATATTAGAATTGTTCCAAAATTCTATGGGAAAATGTAATGGAAAAGTGGTGAGCTTCAAAGTGGGCAGGAGCCACACTGGATTTTTTTTTTTTTTTTCCCATTCCCGTTATGCCATAGAACAATCACTTTGCACTGGTGGCTCTGCTGGCAAATGTTTATTTTTTTATTTTGATGGTTATCAGGTTAAGGTTAGGGTTTGGATTATGGTAAGTTTAGGGTTTTGGGATTGGTGCGCTAACCAGATCTTGGCATCACGAATTTCGGACTTACGGTCATTGCGCAATGCATACTGGGAAGGATTTTATGAAAAAGTGAGCATCAAACCGCCATGTTTGTTTTCCCAGTGGGATGTGTCTATTGACAAAGCCGATCTTTTCTAGTCTTTTGAACCATATCACTTTTGTTTCTGGTTCTGATATTGTCATATTTTAGTTTTGGGATTTGGACATCGTAATTGTGTGGTTGTTGGATGTCCTAACAGCGGAAAATGGCTCGAGAAATTTGTTTGCGAATGTCATAACTGCAAAAGGGAATCAGATGCGTTCAAACTGTTTCCCTTCCCAACGGAATTGAAAAATAGTGAAAAGTGAAGGCGATGGGCAGTAGTGATAAACAGGAAAGATGAAAAAGTAAACCTTTGGCTGCCTAAAAAATCATCCTGAGTTTGCAGCGAACATTTTGTATGTGGAGCACCATCAAAGCAAAATCCCGATACCTCGCTCCACCTTGGTTATGAATTTAAAAAGTCAACACCAAAGCGAAAGGCACCAGCTTTTCACCAAGAAACACCTTCCACAGCAAAGAGACCAAGACGTGATGTTGCTGTAAAGTTGAACAAGAAAGTGTGAACTCGGCCTTTTTGTCTTCTGTACCTCTCACTTGGCAAACAGGATCCCGCTTCGATGGCGCTCCACATACAAAATGTTCACTGCAAACTCAGGATGATTTAGGCAGCTAAAGGTTTCCTTTTTTGTCCTTCCTATGTATTAATATTGCCCATCATCTTTGCCTTTCACTATTTTTCTCTTCCACTGAGAAGGGAAACAGTTTGAACGGAGGTTTACAGTCACACAGATCTGATTCTCTTTTGCATTTATGAAGTCTGCAAACTTCTGAAGCCCATTTCTCGAGCTGTTTTCCACTGTTAGGACATCCAACAACCACACTATTACAATGTCTGAATCCCAAAACTAAAATATGATGAAATCAGAACGAGAAACAAAAGTGATATGGTTCAAAAGACTTGAAAAGATCGGCTTTGTCAATAGACGCATCCCACTGGGAAAACAAACATGGCAGTTTGATGCTCAGTTTTTCGGAAAATCCTTCCCAGTATGCATTGCGCAGTGACCGGAAGTCCGAAATTCGTGATGCATCTATTGTGTCATGAAAAAAACAAGACTCAAATAGATGACGTCCAGTATTTTCTGGAGTGGGAGGCGATAAGAACGGTAGGTGGAATTTTAGAAGAAACAACGTTGTGTAACTTTTATATTTCATTTTAACTGTTGTGCATATATGTCCCTTTAAAAGAGAAACTGTTAAGTCTGTTTCCCTTTTGGACTTAGCCAGCTAACCACTAAATAGTCTAAATTTGTCACGAACTGGCTCAGGGTTCGGACAAGATGGAGTCCACGCCTCTTTAAAAAGGTTTACAAAAATAGGTATTTATTAAAAACAGGATGCAAGCAAGTCGTGGCTGCATGGTGGAGAGAAGAGAAGAGAGTGAGCAGTCTCCAGCAGTCAGTTTTTAAAGGTGGTGCCACGCCCACAGTCAGGTGCAGCTCATAGGTTGGTCTCCCCACGCTCTGGAATCTGGAAGGGAGAGGGGAGAGAGTCAGCAGCAGCACAAACATGCACCCACAAAGTACAAATCTAAGCTGGGGTCGTAACAATTACAGATTTGGAATGCTCATATTTTTGGATAGTTTATTATTTGTTGAAGAAGTTTTGACAACGTTCCCAGGCTGTGATTGGTTAGTCAAGGATGCACTGAAGAAATAAAGCCCCTTTAAAGCAATGACAATGTGACTTCGTATGTGTATGTATACGTTGTAAAACAAAAAGAAAGAAGTTGGCTATACATTAAGGCTGTAAACCTGAGAGACTTGAGATCGTAATTAAGAATAATATGTATACCTTTGACTCGAGTCCAGGTATGTCTGTGCATTTCTGTTTTACTTTTACTGTCAACTATATAGCATCTTGGGTCACTTTCTGTGCATGAATATTGCATGTCTATATTAAAATTCACAACAGTGTCAAATGCATTACTAAAACTACATTGTTACAATAAATTAAAAACTGGACACACCTTTGCATGCATGTGCATACTAATGATTGTCTCCAGACAGGGCCGTTTCTAGCTTCAAGGTTCCCTGGGCAAAAACGCAAAATTTGGGGGGGAGGGGGGGTCAAAATGTGAATAATGTTGTGAATGTTTTTTTTTTTGTAGATATGGAAAAATGTAATAGCAAATTTACCATTTGTAATAAGAAGAAAATATTTGAAAAACCTGACTAAAAATGAAAGTAAATATTTATTGTAACCTTCCAAATAAGCGTATAAAGTGTTACTATTGCACCTTATTGGATAATTTTAACATTTGACTGATACTTACAGCTGATACAATTAATGACATTTTTTTGGCATATTTTCTGTTTTTGTTTTCTGTCACTTTTCACACAGTCATACTAAGAAATGTAAAAATAAAACAAAGATACTGTAGCTTTAACACATTATAACAACTACACCTTAATTAACTGTAACAAAAGAGGAAAGAAGACTTAAATCATAATGAACAAACAGTTAATTAAGAATTGTTCAAGCTTAGTAGCTGCTTAATAATACCTTAAACATAACTCCTAACTCTAACTCCTAAATTAAGTGTTTACTAAACCTGAATCATTCTTAATAAACTATTGTTCATTATGATTTGCTTTATTAAAGATGCACTGTGTTACTTTGTGGTTGGGGGTCCGTCATCTGCTTGTTTCTACAAAAATGTCATTGGTGGACCTGGAATGTTCCACAGTATGATTTTAGACAGCTCTACCTTACATTTATTCAATTGCAGGTGGTTTTATAGCTTTGTATAGCTCTGAAAAATAGAGAAGAAATCTTGCACACCGTCTTACTTGCAAATTGTGAGATTTATTAGCTCTAGAAAAACAAGCATTCTGACTGTGAGCGGGGTTGACGCTTCACAGATCTGACCTGTAACGTTGGTCTCCACGAAGATAGAACGGTTTAATTCCAGACAAAGCAATAACATCTCCATGAAAAACATTTGACAGACCCTCCACCAGAAAAGTTACACAATGCACATTTAAGGCTGTAAATAGTGTAGTTATTTTCATATAGTTTATAGTGTCTTACATTCAGGTTGAGATCACGTATTAGTGATTGAAATTTCAGCACGGTCAGACTAAGCATGTGCGTGCGATATTACAATATTTTTGGGGGCATCTTTTCAACAGTGAAAAATTCCCCATGTACGTAATATACTTTTTTGCTCGTAATCATGCTTAGAATTTATTTTCCAAATATGGTGCAGATCCGAAAATGTTGATGTTTTATGTCTATGGTAGGGGGCGCTATAGTGTTCACTTTTCGTATGTTTTATAGTGTATTATATTCAGGCTAAGATCACGCATTAGTGATTCAAATTTCAGCACGATTGGACTAAACCTGTGTGAACGGGAGCAAATAATGTCATCTTGAAATTATCAAAAATTTTGATTGATTGAAACTGTTGCATATTTTGGGCCCCCCTCTTTGCTCTTGCTCGGGTCGCCTATCTCCAGAAACGGCCCTGTCCAGTGTTACCTCTGTGTATTGTTGTGTTCTGAAATGTTGTCCACAGGAAATGTTTTGTATAAAGCCAGTCTTCTAACGTTGTGTCCTGTGACAGTGTTGTCCATCACTGTGACAAACGTGCAGCGGGTGGGTCAGAAGATGCAATCGCTCGGTTCCTCTTCGGACGCTGTCAAAACCAACTGTCCCCCTCGCTCTCCTCTTTTCTTTTTTTTTTTCCCCTCTGTTTTTCTCTACCTGTTCCCTCTGTTTATTTTCACCTCTATTTATTTTATTTCGCTGTTGGTTGAACATAAGTGGTGCAAAGTGATTAAGGTTGTGGATGTTTTGAGTACGTCTGTGTGTGGATTTGGATGTTGTCACTGGATGGGTTATCGTGTTTTGTGAAAGTAAAATTGCCTTTAATTTGTCCAAAAAACAACAAGATTTTGAAACTAGTGAATAACATGCTTCAGAAAGATCTGCTAGCCCTCGGTACTTTGTCCTTTTTCTCATTTTAATGTTAAACCATGACCGAGAAACAACTTATTTTCACATGGTTTTCATCAAGCAGCATCTTTGATTCACCTTGGCTATGTACAGACTGCAGCCTGAAGTGACCCAAATCCGAATTTTTTAACCTTTTACGACCTATATCTGATCTTTTAATGACAGTCTGAATGACGTAGATCTGATTTTTTCAAATGCAACCCAGGCCACTTCGATATGTGTTCCTAAAACCGACA